GGGTCCCCAATGATTCAGTAAAAAAGTGATGGGGGGTGGTCTATCTCTGAGCACGTAGGCAGTAGAAAGATGAAACTTTGCCAGATACATACATGTGTGGTTTCCGTCAATTAGGTGATGTTCAATTATGCAAATGTTGTCACGTGACTCCACACGGCCAGAAAACAATAAAAAGTCTTTAAACAAAAATGGCAACACTTTTTTTTGTAGGTTATTAAACCGGACTGGTTTAGGACAATGTGTAATGCAAGCATCTACAAGACTGTGCTTGGCCTTTTTTGAATTTCTTACTGTTTTAGAAAATAAACGGCTTTTTCAACTAGACCCAGTCCCACAAAGCAATTGTATCCCATGTTAACGCCTTCGATTTTAAATATCTAAAAAAGGCCAAGCACAGAAGTGATACATTAAACGGCATTAACATTATGCAACCGGTAAAATAATTGAAGACACACGAAAAAGTGTTGCCGTTTAGAGAACAAGCTTTTTCAGCCGATGGAGGTCACGTGACCTAATTTGCATAATTTTAAAGTACAAAATTGACGCAAACTAAAAATGTGGTTAGCTGGCAAAGTTTTAAGTCTCTTCATCTAAAGCTCTTAGATATAGACCACCCCCTCACTTTTAAAGAGAGCAAATTAAGGCAAATTGAGGCCCATGCCTTAATTTACCTGACCTACTTAACCATAGGTCATACGCCGTTGTCGTCTGGCGGGTTTGCGACGTCGCGCCTTTGTGCGTTTGCGTTTAAGGGCCACGTCCTCGGCGTGGAGGGGAGGGAGGCAGACTTGAGCTGGACGTTCGGGTGGAAGTGCGGCGCACAGAAGGTCGTCCTCCCCCTTTTTCGTAGACTGTGGTTACTGTATTGGTATCCGTGATATTTCGAATACGCCTGCCTCGAGCACGTTGTTGAGCATCTTCATTCAGCAAATCTAACCGTCGCCTTAATCCCTGCCGTCGATCCTCGTCGTCATCATCGCCATCGTCATCCGACGGCGGAGGGGAAGAATCGGGCGCGGGGGAAGAGGGCACACGGGGACGTCGTCGCGGTCGTTTGGCGGCGATTCTGGGACGTCCACTGGGGGTCGTCACCGTCGAGGTGGTGGTCCTTGTCCCTGCACCGGCGCTGCGGCGAGCGGTGAGGGGGCGAGATGAGGCGGTGGTGCTCGTGGCGGTGGTGACGGGGTGTGTTCGGGAGGACTTGACGGGTCGGGGTCGTCTGGCGGTGGTCGTAGGGCGTGTTCTGGTAGACGTGATGGGTCGGGTTTGAGTAGCGGTGGTGATGGGCGGTGCCGCGGTGGTCGTTGGGGTGGTGCCGGTGCCTGCCACTGGCGGTAGACTGAACATATTCAAGGCATCGTCCACATTGACCGGGTA